TTTCCAAATTCCAACACGAGAGTGAGGCAGCAGCCGCGGTTGCACAAACCTTCTACTTTAGCTTACAACAAGTCACAGAACGTACGGCGGTAACTTTTTACTAATCAAGGGAGGCAAACACAAACACTAATCAAGCAGTGGCCACCATCTCCTTGGCAAGAGGAAGAGGAAGAGGAGCAGCAGTTTCCTCTCCGCCTCTGATTCCTCCAAGTCCAGGCTTGCTGCCACCACCACTCCTCATGCTCAATAGCACTTCTTCCCACTTCTTTGCAGGTCCCTGCAACAGTAGCCATCATTCATGGCAACATACTTAAAATCAAGAGGTGAATTAATTAATTAATGCTGTAATAATTTTTTTTTCTTTTTTGCTTACCTTCCAGGAAAGATCTTGAGCCATGCAGGTTTTGATCATCTGGGTCAAAGCAGGGGTGCCATGGGTCTTAAGAGCTCTTTTGATTGAAGTCGCCACTGCATTTACATCTGCAGGATCCACAGCATCGCACTGAAAGAAAAAAGAGAAGAAAATTTACCATGCATTAGTTTTAACTCTGTACGTAACTCAGTGACAAGTAACAACTGGGAAAAGAAAATATATAAAGGAATTATTAATTGCATACATCGACATTGAAGTCTCCCATCTGAAAACCTGTGGAACCTTCTTTAACTGTGTCAACTAGTCCACCAGTTGAGGCAACGATGGGGACCTGCACCAAAAATTTCAGTTTTATTTTTTTTATTGCTAATGTTATTAATTCATTCAGTGCCACAAATGGGGCATTGATAAGATGACATCAAATCAAAGGGATCATGGTGCAATATATAATAGGAGTATGCAAATTAAAACATATATATATATATATATATATATATATGTCTGGTAAGATCCAAACAGAGACTCCACAGTGCTAAATTGAAGTGGATGATTGGTTGAACTTGAAACCAAAGCTCTGAGTAATTATAGATGAATGTATTAAGTTATAACCTGCTTCTGCTTCAATGCCAGCCTGTATTGACGAAATACACTGCAATGGTTCAATGCTGGGCATAGCCGGCCGATGCAGACATTCAAAAGCTTAAAATTAAATGTGAGCAAAGAATGCGATCCGATCGAAACAAATTGGAAGAAACCATCTTTATTTATTTGCATATAATAGCATACTCTTACACTACTATTACTAGTTGATGTTGATGATGGTGGCGTTGGTACCAATACCGTGCGATGCGATATCAACCCTCAGAGGCTCCGTTACCTAGCAGCATTGCATTACAGTCAAAGTACATTCAGATTCAGGGAAATGGTTTTGA